GTTGTTTGCTGGTCTTTCACGCCATCTGCTGCTCCAGCATCGAGTTGAGGTGGCGGAGAAAGTGGTGTAGATGCACGTGGTGAGGTAGTCGAGTACGGTGCTTGTGAAGACGGAGTTGAGGAGCTGGGGAAGACACTAACACCAAGACGTAGGCGCAGCTGAACAGACACGGTTGGTGGGAGTGAGGCGCGTGGAATGATCAGACTTCGAAGGGCGGGGGGAACACCAGTATTGCGGAAGAGGCGCGAGGGCAACATATTTTAGCTGAAGAGTTGAGGGCTTTGGTCAAAATTTGGTTTGAACGCCGGTGAGTCGGACTCCATGCATGGTGCTTGTGTTTTGATGGCCGGCTCCCTGAGCCTCGGGCCTTTCTCTCAGTGCTGAGTGAATGCCCACCATGCTCGGTCCAAGGTGATTCATATTCCTGCACTGGCAGCCTATAGTGAAGCCCCTCTATTTTTCTCGAAATCGACACATTCCTAGTGCAATAATCTGGGATAATTCAAAGGCCATCGATTTACTCACTCTCTCCTGTTCAGTGCTCCGCAATCAAGGTCGACACCTGTATAAAATACGTCTTTCCACCCTTCCAGCGCTGTTCGCTTCAATGTGTCGCGATTCTATTTCCTCCTCCCGAAATGCCCGCCATCATATCCGCGACTTGAATAAAAGGAAAGATGGAATGAGAGTTAACACAGCAGTTCTCTTTCTTCACATTTCAGCTCTCCCCATTCACCTGGCCTGTAAAGCATCATCATGAGAACTTCTTTCATCACCCTTGTTGTCGCCGCCATCGGTGCCGTGAACGCTCATCCCCTCAAGCGCGACGGTGGAGTCGATGGTAATTATTACCCACCCCAGTCTATGTCACTAGATATCGTGGTTTAACTGTTTTTCCATCTCAGATGCTACGGTCCTCAACTTTGCTCTGACACTCGAGCATCTTGAGAACGCGTTCTATAGCCAGGCTCTTGCCAAATACGACGCTGCCGCGTTTGAGAAGGCTGGCTTCCGCTCATGGGTCCGGGAACGCTTCCAGCAGGTCGGTGAACATGAGGCCGCCCACGTCCAATTCTTGTCAGGTGCACTCGGCGACAAGGCGACTCAGCCATGCACCTATGACTTGTACGTATGTTACACATTGCAGTGATAGCGTCCTGATGTCCCTCTTCAGCCCTCACGATGATCCTAAGTCTTTTGCGGCTTTCAGCCAGATTCTCGAGGGTGTTGGTAAGTACGATTATTCGCAGCCCCTACATCTGCTGAAATGAATCCAGGCGTGTCTGCATACACTGGGGCCGCGCAGTACATCACCGACAAGAGCTACCTGACTGCCGCTGCGAGTGTTCTCGCTACAGAGGCGCGCCACGCCAGCTGGGTCGCATCCACGGTCAACGGGGGATCTGGCTGGAGCGGAGCACTCGATGTCCCTCTAACCTTGGACACCGTGTACACCCTAGCCGCCAGTTTCATCAAATCCTGCCCATCTACCAACCCTGCTCTGCCCGTCAAGGCTTTCCCTGCAGTCTCCTTCGGAGATCACCCGAAGCCAGGTTCCATGGCATCGGTCACCTTCACTGCCACTACCGACGCGTCTACCCAGCTCTACGCCGTGTTCTTCACTGGCCTTTCGCAGCTCGTATCCCCTATCCACGACGGCAAGACTATGATTCCCGCTGAGCTGCGCGGAACCGTCTATGCTGTCGTCAGCACCAACGACACTATTGCTACTGACGGGACCATCGTTGCTGGCCCTGCCATCATCAACATCGACTTCAACGCTGAAGGCAACCTTATCAACTAGTATATCTTGACCAATTACGTTTCTATACCCCTTCATCACAACGTACCAGGTTAACAAGAAATATATAATGACTTGGAAAATAAAACCAACCATGCACGGATTAATTCTCAAGCATCTAGGCGACCTTATCAATTGGCATCCGAACCATCTACGATCATATTATATAACCTTGAATTACGACCTACTAATTAAATGAGAAATAATTGGATATCATTCTAATTTGAAAGACTCGGATGAAACAAACCCTAGGCCTTGAGGGATTAGTTTTCGAGGCTTTTTGTATCGATAGAGAGCCTCCGTTACTTGTCCCAATAGCAATGTGTGCCAGCATGGAACTAACCTTTTCCGGCAATCCGACATTATGGGTTGTGCCGGTGGAATCCCTAGAAGGCATTAGGCTGACGTTAATGAGTGCCATAACATCAAGAAATGATCCTTATTTGACAGACCAAAGATATATTTGAACTGGGAACCTGGCTATTCACCGCCAGGCTCCTGCCAGTGAATAATTAATTCCCTCCATATTCATCTTGGAACGTAACCCTAGAGAAGCTACGGGCTCATGGCAGATCTTTCCGATGATGGTGAAGTTCGACGGCTCCTGAGTCTTCAGCTCGTTGGTATAGCTTAAGCAACGCCGGTTTCAGGAGAGCTATCGTCGGATGTTTGAACTGAAGGTTGGTAGGTGGCTTCCTCCTGAGAGCATAAGATTATGAGTAAAAAAAATAGTCGCAGAATGATTCCTAGACCTACTACTTTGCGATATTATTTTCTGCAGCGGCTAGATTCGTAGCGCCCGTGGTAGGGTAGAGAGCCTGAGGAGGCGAGATAGAGGTTAGCTAGATCAAATATTCGGAGCGGCACTGCCTAAGCAACGAAGCAACGGATGAGCAGGATTTCCTGAGCAGTCCGTGTATAGTAATTAATTAAAAATAGATGAAGAGACTGTTCAACGTCAGGAACCTCAGTGCTGAGCATCGCCCAATTCTGGACCGCGATTTTACTAAGAGGGGCAGTGCGATAGCGATAGCACATAGGTCAACAAAGTCTAGGACAGGTAATCCAAGTCTTTCAGAAAATTCGCGATTTTCAGGTGTCTCGGCATATTTTTTTTGAAGTTCTCAGAATGCAAAAGAAGACCAATATCAGATCTGAGCTTGGTTCAGTGAAAGAGAGAGAGAGATGAGGCCGCGCCGCGCGCTGCCGAGTGATGAGTGATTGACGCGGAGTTTGGAACCCTCAGATGTCTGTCGTATGCCTAGACACATTGCGATCCTCGGCGGCGGGCTAACAGGACTCTCATCTGCTTTCCATCTCTCGCGTCGCTTTCCAAATGCTAGAATAACTCTTCTCGAGAAGCAAAACCGATTCGGTGGCTGGGTTCGGAGCGAGCAAGTCCAACTGGAACCTACAGCGTCTTTAACAGTTGAAGCAGGCCCACGGACACTGCGTCCTGCCGGAAAATCGGTTTTGGAACTGGTATTTCTTTCTCATCATGTATTGCCGCCTAGCCATATGAATCCAAACACTTCCAGATAAACTTGCTCAATCTCCAGTCTTTGCTTCTGAAAACACCACGCAGCGCCCCTGCGGCTCATTCGAGGTTTATCTACGCGCCTACAATCCAACCTGGACTCACTTCCATCCCAACAACACCACTGGCATTTCTTCGGTCCCCATTACGTGTCCTTCTCCCCGATATACTTCGCGAGCCGCTACGCAAGTCAAACAGAACCGCGACAACTTCTCAGTCAAAAAATGAAACCTATGACGAATCCCTTGACTCTTTCCTTTCGCGACGGTTCGGGCCAGAGCTCGCGCGCGTATTGGGTAGTGCTCTGGTGCATGGGATATATGCGGCAGACGCGCGAGACCTCAGTGTCCGTGCGGCGTTTCCTTCGCTCTATGATATCGAGGACAACGGCAACGGAAGTGTGGTGCTCGGCATCTTGAAGATGATGATGGGCATTAAGAAACCCATTCCTAAGGACAACGATTACGAGCTGGGAGACGTGGAGGCGCTGATGCAGGGTATCGCGGTGTACTCGTTTCAGGGCGGGATTCAGACGCTTCCAAACGCGTTGGTTAACGCGCTGCAGAGTAAACCGGCACTGGAGCTCTGTTCTGAAGAGGGCGTGGCGGGGATTGAGATGCGCGGGCAAGACGGTTCGTTCGTTGTACGTCGTACTTGTCTTTTGCTCTTCACCTGTTTCTCACTGGAAGCAGGTACATACACCAAAGCGAACGCTTTCACCCTCCCACATCATCTCGGCGCTCCCGTTGCACTCCCTACAACCCATTTTGCCGTCCTACGCCCCGGCGCTCCCCCACCTTGGAGCTAACCCCTCCTCATCCGTCACCGTCCTTTCCCTGATCTTCGCCGCTCCACCACACACGATCCACCCCGCTGGCTTCGGCTACCTCATCCCGCGGCCCAAGGACGACTACTCCCCATCCGCACTCGGCATCCTCGGGACCGTCTTTGACTCGAACGCGCTGCCCATCCCGCCGGGCGCAGATCATGCCCACGAGGCCAAGTACACGAAGCTCACCGTGATGCTGGGCGGGCCGTACCCGGGAGCCCTGCCACAAGACAAAACCGTGCTCCTTGCACAGGTCATGGACCACCTGCGCAGCGCGCTTCAGAGGGACCTGCCGGAGCCCATCGCGTCCCGCGTGTGGCGCCAAGATCGGTGTATCCCGACGCTGCGTGTGGGGCACAGGCAGCGCATGGCGGAGCTGCGTGAGGTATTGGAGGGGAGGGTGTGGCGCGGGCGGATGGAGGTTGTGGGCGCGGGCGTGGACGGTTTGAGTGTTGGCGATTGTGTGGAGGCGGGAAGGAGGGTCGGTGCACGGTGGTGAACGCCTAGTAGCAGTAGAACTCATTTTTCATTTATACGTGATTTGTTTCTCAGCATCTTGCGTGGGATGGGATGTACGCTGGATACTTTTATTAAATTATTGTTTAAGATCTGGCGATGGGGAAGTAATCGCAATGTGGTGTGTTCTGATTTAGGGTATGTGTGTGGGGTTATTAACTGATATAATTACAACCCAACATTGTCCATATCAGTAACGGCTGGTTTCGAGACTATGCATACATAGCTCTTCGACACTTTCCCTCTTGATGTACTTGACATCAATATTTTCAACGCAAATTGCGGTGCGGTGCCAAAAATACCCACTCGACAGGTATAGCCCACCGCGAGGGTCGAACTCGCAGCCTTCAGATGTCGTCCGCCACTGCGTAAAAGTCTGACGCTCTGGCCGATTGAGCTAGGCGGGCCTATTAAAATTTAAATGATTGGAAAATACGACGCGGCATATACAGTGGTGAGATATAGTTGAATGTAGGCAAGATTTCGTAGCATGGGTGGGTAGATACGCTTACGGGTGCTTTGGGTTGATCTCTGCAAGCTGCTGGGCTATATAATTATGCACAGCCAGATCTTTTGGGTCCCACTCCTCTGAAGGGCCCCAAATACTCTTGAACTTCTCGATAATGTTCTCACTGGGGTTCGGGTTGAGCTCAGGGTGGTTCTGGAGTAGACCCATGACAGCGCGCCATCCACTGTTCAGTGCTCCAGCGACCCATCTGGTAAGACAACCGTCTGATTAACCTGCACAAGCAAGGGCAGAGTAAAAGAAAACCTACCCGTGGAAGGTACTGGTCGCGTCACCAGCAAAGTGCAGCCGCTGCTGCCTCGATGCGGGCTGAGTCAGGTGAGGGTAGGTGTTCTTGAATTGTCCAGGGCCGAATTGGCAGAAAGCGCCTGAACAAGGTATGGATGATCAGGTATGAACAACACCAACTCTTGGTCACGATGACTTACCGAGTTGGAACTGGTCACGGTAGAAGTCCCATGGGAAGTAATCCTCGTATTCATCCCAGAGGACTTCGGGCTTGAGGTTATGCACAGCCGCAAGGTCACGAATTACCAGGTCGAGGAGAATCTTTTCCTCAGGCGTTCCGCGGCCCTTCATCAACCCACCCATGCGTTGTGAGTCTTGCATACCGCTGTACGACGCAATCATACAGCTTGATTTCCTGAAGGATTGAGATCCGATGTGCGAATCGTCGGGACCGTACGACGGATACACGATGTCGCGGATGGGGCGGTCGGTGGAAGACTGCCCGCCGACGATGCCGAGTTTCTCCCACCATGGTGTCCTGAATTGGACGCCGATCTTGATGGAAGGCGTGTAGGCAAGAGAGCGGATCGCACAGCGCTGCCCGCCCGTAAGATAGACGTTGTCGAGATCGAGCACGCGTAGGCAGGCCAGTGACATTGTAGAGATAACGTTAGAGTACTTCCGGTCGGTCTGGGGCAGCTGGCGAGGCCCACCGGACCGGTCGAAGGTCACAGTGATGCTTGCACCATTATCGGTTTCCTTGAAAGCTACAGCACGATAGTTCAGTGTAGGCTTGGTGTGAATCTTCTCAGTCATGGCCTTGTGGATAATCTCAGATCCGCCACTGGGAGTCATTGTGAACAGCGGTCAGATGACGTGTAGAGGGGAGTGGTAAGTGACTTACTCGAAGCAGTACCAGTCGATCTCCTTGCCTTCGAAACGTGGGTCATTGAATACTAACGACGCGAGGACCGTCTCCGTCAACGAGGCATCGAATAACCCAGTCCGCGACTCCATAGTCTCATACCATTTGATCACGTCGTAGGGGATGCCCTCGACGAAGCTAAGGTAGCTGGTCACGGTGTGCTTGTCGAGCTCCTGAAGCTTCTTAAAAGCGACATCGAAGGGATGATCGACAAAGAGCTGTCGCAGGTTGCCGAGAATTTTGTTCCAGAAGACGTCTGAACCTGCAGCAACATATGAATCCGGAACATTGCCGTCGTTTGACTGGCTAAACTTGAAGAGATCAGCGCTGTTGGCGGTGGACTTGACCTGGGCTTTGGTCATGCTAATGCCATTGAAATGCATGAAGGCGTTGTCATTTCCACGGATATACGGTAGCATCTTGTCCTGTAGCCCCAGTCTGTTGCGCGCAAGATCAAAAGTACGTTGCATGAATGAGGTATCGGGGTAGCGCATCGCGCCGACGTCCTAAGTTCATAAAATGAGCTCAGACTCTGAGTAATGTCAAAAGGAATACAGACGTAATATTGGTATTTCCCTTGGCTGGTGGGGAAATTGTGCGTGTAAAGACGACCACCGATACGCCGAGATCCTTCCAATAGCTCATACTTGATTCCAAGAGAGTCCAGCATCATCGCGATGTAGAGGCCTGATACACCCGCCCCCAGGATGGCCACAGGTAGCGGCGAGGCCGGATGAACTGGGCTGGGAATAACGGCAGGGATAGGAATATAACGTCCAGGTGTGTTAGGATCGTTGAATTTCTGTTGGTAGTCCTTGATAGCCTTCTTACCAGCCTGCACGAGCGCTTGGGAGGAAGTATCGGCGGGTGATGGTGGTACGAAGTTCTTGACTATGTTCACGATGATCATCCTGCGTTCAAGAAAGAGGTTATTTTGGAATAGAATCTAAACACTTGCTCGCTTACACGTCGTCAAATTCATGCGCTCCCGGGTCCTGAGCACTGGCAGGTGCGTCTTGTATGAAAATCTGCATGCTGTCAGCATAAGCCGCTCGCGAAGAGTAAAATTGGAGCTACATGGAAAGTTGAGTAATCTGGTAGCTCTTCTGGAGCAGAGGTTGGTTTGGCATGCTGAGCCAGGACGTGAGCTATGCAAACATCATGCAGAGTACAAGTGACATGCCGTGATGACATTTGCCCTGGTACTCCGGTACAGATCATCCTGAAGGAGATCTCCCGCGAGAGTGCTATCGGTTGAATAATAAGTATTGATAGCAATGGTTTGTGGGCCGTCCTGAGAGGTGATGCTTAGGGCTATTTCACGAGTGGTCATATCTCTCATGAGTTCATTGGAAACATTGTATCTGTCGGCGATGGAAGCAGTCTCGCGGTGCCCGCTTTCTTCGTAATCGACCGTGACTAAATGGTTGTAGATTTTACGAGATACCTGCCGAAGAGTGGTCAGCGACAATGCTTCAGAGATCAACAGCGCGACATACGGTGCTGATGGTAGTAAACCAGCCAGTGGGGATTGCAATTTGAAACCTGGTGCCGATGTGGGAGAGAAGAACTGGGCGAGACATAGCTGTTGTTGAACTGCGTTCCACCAAAAGATAGAAAAGCTTTTAAGGACAACCTGCTGGGATAGGATCGGTCAGATTCAGAGTTCCTTCCGTTCGATATCGTAGGCGATGGAATTAATTGAATTGTGATATCCAGAGAAGTATGACTTCATTTCAAGATGATCGTAGGGTGTTGCAAGGATGGCAGTGAAGTTATCTCCCGTGTTCGACATAGCAGTTGTCGTGTAGAGGCGATTGTGCTGCCTTCCTTTTACTTGATCTCAGGTTCTTTTGAATCGGGACTCGAGGTCTCTGCCTAGTGATCACTAGGTAGAGATTGGATAGAGATGGAAAAACTGCAAGGATCATAGATATGTGTTTCGCAGTCGATTGAATGATAGGCTACAGGCCCAGTCTTCACAGAGATCGTTAACACATATCCTTGTGCCTGAAGCGCAGAGCCTTGAGGTCCTAATGAAACACGTACGATAGGCACTGCGAAAATGGATTAGAGGTATGTGATGACTAGTGCCTCCCACGATCCTATCCGAAGCAGAAGATTGTGAAAGGTTGGATTCAACGTACTAGCATGCTGGTGATAAACCGCAACAGAGGACCATACTTCGTCGCTCGGGAAGGTAGTACGTAGGAGCAAAAAAACTAACCAAAAGCACGATTAGAAGCCACCAGTCATTCTTGACTACCTAGAGAGGATCTCGATTTTTTTCAATCTTTATTTTTTAATTGCGTTGTTCTAGGCAAAGCTAATCCCAGCACAGTAGTGAGCGGAACGTTTGGGTGGAAAGTTACAATAGCGTTCTGATCAGGGTCAACATGGCCCAGACACCGAATAACGTGATCGCAGTACTGAGTCTCAATCAAATTCTCGCACGATATGCATGCGATATGGGTGAGGTGAGGAAGGCCTTCCAGAGAGTGGGAGCGTTGAAAATGTTATCGAGAGCGGAGCCTTAGCCTCACGTCATCTTGAAATTAAGCCAAACCATCTGTACCTACATGATCTTTCTAGACTCTTTCTAGATCACGCGCCGTCCATTCTGTATATATCTAACCATTCTGAATCTACGCGAGTCGTGTTCGCGCATCTTACGATATTCCACCGCGCAGCAGAGCTTGTTCAGGGTGTGAATTTCCTTCAATATTGATTGACCCAAATATGTGACACTTGTTCAACGTGCTTTTCCTAGTGCAAGAGCCAAGAATCAATGCGTGAACCATGCCTATTTGAAATTTGAAATTGACTGCGCCACAAAAAACGACTTGCTTCGCTTGTCGTAGCCCACCGCGAGGGTCGAACTCGCAGCCTTCAGATATCGTCCGCCACTGCGTAAAAGTCTGACGCTCTGGCCGATTGAGCTAGGCGGGCGATGAGACGACTATCGGTGTTCGATCCTCATCGGGCGCATAAAATGAGTGGGCAAACAAAAGTGCACGATACAGCGTCTCTAGATAGCCCACCGCGAGGGTCGAACTCGCAGCCTTCAGATGCCACCGCCCAGATAAGAGTCTGACGCTCTATCCGATTGAGCTAGGCGGGCTGTGAGTACTGTGAGTACATAGCCTGGTCCTCCAACGCCCCATGGTGTTAGGGGGGAAATGATATGGGTGGACAGACGATATGGTGGACAGGAGACATGGTAGGGGTGAGGCAGAGGAGGGAGGTCCTTACATCTGATAAAACAAGATCAAACATCTAGAACAAAGAGCTCGCCTATCCGATTGCCCAGGACGATCCGCCCGCTGACCTCCGCGATCGCACAGTGCGTCAGATCCGCTATGTGCGCCCCGACATCAGTGATTATCTTCACATAGTGGCGTTACATTAAACTGATTTACCTCGAAGATCATATGACACCACACGATGCACCATACAACGGGGAATCACCACCAGACCCGGAGTCTGCTCCCCGGCTGGGTCCTGCGCCCATACAAGCACCTCACGCACAGTGCTCCCGCGTTTCCTCTCAATCCAAACCGCACGTTTCCCTTGGGGCCCCAGCGCAAGCGCACTAACGAACCCGCGCGAACCCCCTGCGGTAGAGCCTAGTGTGCGGTGCCCGAATAAGGCCGATGCCCATTGCGAGTCCGTCACCTGTTGCGATCCAGAAAGCTCTGATGAATCATCATTTGTAGATGCGGAAGAAAGCAGCGGGGCAAGTGCGCGGGTATTGATAGTGTCAGACATAGGGTATACCCCGAGACATGTGACCTCGAGGGATTGGGGCACGCGGTGAACGTGCGCAACGAAGTGAAATATACCGTGAAGGAAGTCGTACCCCATGAAGTTGAAGGAGAAGCCTTGTGTTGTGGAGAGACACTGCGAGGAAGTGAGCGAGCGAAATGTGAGTGAGGGGAAGTGGTGTATCATGGGAGGTAAACCACAGCTGGGTTGCGTGAAGGGATGGAGCTCCAGCGACCGCGATTTGAAAACCACGAGGTATTCATCAATTATTTTAGAGTCTACGACGGCATTGAACTGGAGGGCAGGCCTGTGTGAGGAAGTGCATATGTGAAGTAGAATTATAAACAACACTTACCACTTCCTCCACGTCCTCAGTCTGCGCTGATACACTCATCACGACCTCTCCTGCCTTACCCATCGTGTCAGGAGAAGCAAAACTGCCAGTATTGGTATTGACAACATCGACGGAATTAGCACTGGACAGTACTAAAATTTTGCGATACGGGTCTATCGTCCTCGCGGTTTGCGCGAATGGGCTCACGAGGGTGTCAAGGTGCTTGAAATCGTTTGTATCAAACACTGTACTTGATTCTCGGAGTGCAACGCGATAAATGCGAGTGATCGCTGGTCTGTAATGGCCTCAGCACTAAATCTTGGGACATCAGAACATTTGATGACTGACACTGTGGCACGAGTGATAGCCAAAATGACGTATTTTTGAGAGGCGTCGAGGGATGCTACCATCGACGCCCAATTCCTTGACCCCAGATCCAAGCTGGCACATCGACGTGGATACGGGGGTACGTCCACAGCATTGGAGATCCTAGGCCGTCCGAGATCCCAGAGATATACCAGGCCTTCAGAATAAGCACAGATTAGCCATCGCTCCAAAAATACCTCAAAGCTGAGCAGCAGGTCGCCAGCTCTTGGTATGACAGTCGATGCGCGCCTGCGGAGGCGAGGCCAGGATTGTGCAGTGCGATAGGCCTCGATCACGCCTGACTCCAGGGCCGCATCCGTGATTTCTGAGGATGTCAAGGAGCCTTCGTGCCATGTGAGAGCCTGCTGTTTGAGGAGAGATAGCCAAATCAGCCGGGTTCGTGAGATCTGAGCAAGCGATGTGCATGTCTAGTGGGGTGGGAGTAGGGATTCAGACTCGTTGGGCAATGCTACAGGTGATGTACCTGTCGGATGGCAAGGACTTCAGGGACTTTGAGGAAGGATATAATTTGTATCACCAGCTCTCCCGGAAGGAGTAGTAATGGAGAGGGGTTGGGATCCTGGACCTCCATGGTGTGTTAGTTCAGAAGATCAGCTGGACAACTTGATCAAACACCGCCGGTCCAACGGACCGGTCCGGGCAGCTCAATCATAATGCATCCACTACACTGAGATATTAACGACTGGATCAAAATGCTCAGTCGCAAAATTCCTGAGTATAATTCGATCTTTGAATTGGCTAATAGCGCATGATTGGGTCAGTCTTGATACTTGGAAGCATAATCATCGCATGCTATCACGTAACATAGTAAGTAGAAAAAAGTGAACCTAGAATGAAAGCATCCACTGTGGAGGCTGATCAGGTTGCCAATTGACCTGTACTAGGTTGAAAATCGTATAATAACCAAATTCCGGTTGAACTTTAGGTTGCGGCTGATCAACCTGTTGGCTAGGTTGCCTTTCAACCTCAGAAAACAACCGAGGTAAGGTTACATTTGATCCAATCTAGCAGCGTAATTTTCGTCAAGTCATTTCAATCTCCGCCGCGGTTACCCTCGGCGTTGACCTGTTTGTTGCTATTGCGATTCCTTCACCACCACCACCACTACCCACCAGGAAAACTCTCCTGCACAATTCATGTCTTTGGCCGCTGTCT